AACAGCCTCCACACGTGTTGTTAACTACTGCAGGAATATCAGTTACTTTGGTTAAGTGTTGTGTCACATGCCTGTCAGAAGCATCTTAAGAGGATTTACTTTGGTTCATGATTTAAGAGGGAATAATTCACCATTGCAGTGAAAATATAATGAGTCCAAGGTGGTGGGTGCATGATGCCAGGACTCCCTGTGCTCTGATGGATTAGGAAGCAGAATGCTGGCACTCACCCAGCTTCTCCTTTTCAGTTCTCTCATTCAGTCTGGGATTGCAACTCAGGAGGTAGTGCCACCATATTCAAGGTGAGTGTTCCCTCCTGGGTTAACACTCTCTGGAAATGTTCTCACAGACATGCCTAGAGGTGTGTTTCCTGGGGGGTTCCAAATCCAGTTGACAATGAAGATTAATTGTGACAGCATTCATAGTTCTCGGTGAGCATAGAGACATTCCCCAATGCTTGATTTCTGACTCCCAAACAAAAAGCTGTCTAAGACAGAAGGTCTAGCCTTCGAAATGAGCTCAAAGAAGAAACAAAAATAAATTGAAAAAAAAAAACACATGTAGGGCGGATAGTTTAATAACATATTCATATTCACTTTAGCAATTCACTACACCAAGTTTCCAAAAAGAAGACCACTGAAGAGTGGGGTGGGGGTGGGGCCAGTGTGGATGTGTGGTGGGAGAGAATGGAGACTGCAGAGAGCAGTCTAAATTCTAAAGCTTAGATTTTTCTCCAGACGGTGGATTAAGATTACAAACCTAAATTTCAACAAAAGTGAGTAGGGCTCCCTCTCCAACTGGGAAAGGGGAGGGGGGTGGGGCGCTAAACATTACAAGAAGTTTTAGAGGGTGTGTGTGTATGGAGACTTCTCAGCAAGTAAGAGTGCTTGCTGCTCTTACAGAGGACCTGAGTTCCGGTTCCCAGCTCCCATGGAGGGTGCTTCACAAGTGCTTGTAACTCCAGCTCCAGGGCATCTGATGCCTTCTTTGGCTCCCACTCCATGGGCACTGCACTCATGTGTGTAGCACATATACACACTCACAAAAAAAAATAAAATCTAAAAAAAAGCATTCGTAAAGAGTGTTTTACTCATACATAGGAAATGTAATTGGTTGGTGATACCCAACTTTAACTTATTCTTCAAAAAATTATAGAGCTACTATTACAAGACTTGCTTTATGGATAGGGAAATATGTTTTTAGGTTTTTGATATATTTCAATTAATACACAGTGATTACTCATATTAGTGGGTTCTTGTGTCCTATAGGAAACTGATATTGGAGTATAAAACCCGTTGTCGGAACATGTCATCTTCTTAAATGATTAAACTATTTACTTAATAAGTCTTTCTAGACAGCTTTCTCTTGAATTGGAATCTGTAATCAAAATCCCTATCTCAAATCTTTTTGTAGCCAACTGTCTTAGCTAAAAGTCCTTTGGGCTGTTACCCCCAGAATAATCTTTAATGATTGTATTAATCTAGTTCCCAGCACTCAGTTTCACTTTTGTTATCATGTTTTTGTTGAGGCCTCTGTCTCTATGGGCTGAAATTGTGTGTCAAGCATCTGTTGCTTTTAGAAAGGCCTCATGGATGACCCCTCACCAAGAATGTAACTTACCTGGAGAATTGAGGTACTTATTTGCCTCAAAAACTTTAATACTGGTTATCAAGGGACATCTAGTGCTTTGTAACTCCACAATTAGCTAACACAGCCACAGCTCAGAAAATAAACGTTGTTCTGTTATCTGTTGGTGCGGGCGGGAGGGGCGGGGAGGTCTGGCAATGTTGACAATACTATGTCTGTTCAAGCATCTGGCACACCATATGTCTTCTGTGTCTTTACACCCGTGGATTTATCTGATGAGAGTCAAAGTATTTGATTTACTTTCTTCATAAAATGGCACAGCCATATCCACTGGAGACAGCGAGAGTCATGAAGCCAGCCCAGCTGCCTGACATAGTTCCACCAAAGCTGAGGGGATTGTTACAACTGTTGTCCTTCTAACTTTTGGTCTCTGCAAATTGCATTCTTGGGGACTTTCTACATTATGATTCAATTTATGTCTTTTCCTGAGAAAAATTATGTCTGAGTATTTTTAGGAAAATCCTAAAATTAACTTTATCTGGCCACTATTGGGAAGTCTTCCTTATGCCCTGGAGATCATTAAGCACTGCTGGATGAAGCCATTACTCCAGGAATGTCTTGGGGTATCTGCCCCTGAGCTAACTCTAACAATGCAATTGATGCAGGGCAAACAGAGACGACTAACAATCTCTTACTGTAGGCTTAGCAGTCTCTTAAAATGCAGTTTAAAGATAGAGGGTCATAAAGGGTACACTTTTGAAGGAATAAAATTCAGCAAATAAGAAGACCAACTAAAATAAAGTTTTCCTACTTATAGCGTAGATGATGAAACATATAGTAAAAGAAGTTAGGTATTAGGATTTGCTATTTATAAGAAGACGGTTTCAGATATTTTCTGTTTGTCTGGAATGCTTTCAACAACAAGAACTGGCAGCCTAAAATCAGGCTGTCATGTAATATATATGTTTGGGTTTGGAGGAGACATTCTCTAGATTTGAGCTATAGGGTAACAATAGCAAGAAGAATCTGTTCTGTTTATGTTTTCTAATTGTGACTGAACTTGTAACCTTGGCCATGTAATGAAAAGTCCAACATGTATTCTGCACTACTTGGATAATCACTAGGCTGTTTTGTTCTGTGAAACTTGTATAAATAAAGAAGCACCTGGCTGCCAGTCAGTCAGAGCACCAGACACTGCCTGATGTTAAGTCAGAGCTACAGAACCGGCCTGATTGCTAGCAAGTCAAAGGCGCAAAACTCCCCTAACCATCTCCTAACTTACACTCTCCTCTCCCCAACTCCTTATCTCACCTGCAGGGCCACCCTGTCAGCAAGAACCCTCTCTCTCCTCTCTGTGCTGTGGAAGTCCCCCAGCAATAAACAAGTGGGGAAACATAAATGATTTACATATACATACATATGATTTATAAGGATGTTTGTCATTACTGAATAAAAGTATCAAGATTTACAATCATAACAGGCACTGATAGGTTGATATATCTACATGCTGAAAACTGAAGAGTTTTCAGGACTTAAGATTCTGACTTAAAGACGGGTTATTTATGGCCCTTGCCTATAAACCCAACACTAAGGAGGTTGAGGCAGGGGCACTACTGTGAATTAAAAGTCAGCTTGTCTAAGTCAGTTGATTGCTAGTCTGTGCTAAATAGCAAGACCTACCCCTACACACAAAGTAAATAAAACATTATGACTTAAGGTAAAAAGTTTGAGTAGAAACAATTTAACTGAGTCTCAACTTACCTATAAAGTGAATGTAGTTATTATAACCTAATCTACTGGTGTTATAAGTATTAAATAATATTATGCAACTCTTATCAGCTGTGTATAGAATAAATGCTGCAAACATGTTAGTTTTCACAACTGGGAATAACAAATCATTATTAAACAGGGGATGACGTACAAGATTATAATTAAGTAAAATACTATATAAAAATGGTATGTCATCAGGATTCCAATAGATATCACATTAAGTCCAAGATATAGTGATTTAGGGTCCTCCAAGAAAAAAAAAATTAGATAACACGCCAGCATCGTCAGACCGGCTCTGAGGCACCTATTCTCTAATAATGACACAGAGACTTTTTATTATTTATGAAAGTATGGTCTTAGCTGGTTTGTTCCCAACTAGCTCATATAACTTTTTTTTTTTAAAGATTTATTTATTTTATTTATGAGTACACTGTAGCTGTCTTCAGACACACCAGAAGAGGACATCGAATCTCATTATGGATGGTTGTGAGCCACCATGTGGTTGCTGGGATTTGAACTCAGGACCTCTGGAAGAGCAGTCAGTGCTCTTAACCGCTGAGCCATCTCTCCAGCCCGCTCATATAACTTAAATTATCTGGATTATACTAATCTACATTCTGCCACATGGCCCATTACCTTTCCTCAGCACTAGCATCTGTTTCTTCTTTCTTGTATGGCTGGTGAATGCCTTGCACCTGATTCTTGCCCAGAGTTCCTTTCTCTGTCAGAAGTCAAGCCTATTCTCTCCTGCCTAGCTATGGGCCATTCAGCTCTTTACTAAAACACTCAGAAGATGCCTTAGGCACGTGAGGGAGGGCAGAGGCACACCTTCTCACAGTGTACAAAAAGATTATCCCAACACAACAGATCTCAATTTTGGAAGACATATGAAAATATCTGTACCAGACTCAACCAAAGCAGCACATGTCTGTCCTCTCTTTCTGTCTCGAGGATCTTCTAGCCCAGAATCTGACATCATCCTTCCCTGGTCCTAGGGTCTCATCCTTGCCTTACAGTGGTGAGAGATTAAATTCAAGTACTGTTCTTTCCATTTCCACTTGCACACTTTTAGCAGTTTTTGAGGTTTTGGGATGGAACCTAGAGTCACCTGAATGCTAGCAAATGCTCTGCCACCAAGCTGCATCCCCAGCCACTTTCACACTTTCACACTTTGATTCTTGTTTGTTCATCTTAATGCAAATCCAACTGCCTAGCATGCTAACACCTTGGCATAACGTAAACCAATACAACTCTTCTGAGTTAACACAGGCCTTTGACCAAAAGCTTGAGGTCAGTGTTATTCAGGGATGCAAGTCCTTAACAATCTAGCCAGGCACTTCAGGGAGACAGGAAAATAACAAAGACTGCAGAGAGATTCATAAACTTGGTAAGAAACGGGAGTATTCCCTGGGAACATGTTTATAGGGTGTCAGAGATTGTAGAAAGATTAAATAGAATGAAAATGGAGAAAAAACTTTCACACAAAGTGATTCAAGAGCTCATTAAATTCTCAAGGAAACTTGTAGCTTTACATAGAAAACTCAAGGCTACTAATATACTTGGCTTATTATTTCAATAAGCAAAAATATACAAACTCTAATTTCAGAAAAAAATAACAGTAAAAAAGAAATTGAACAGTCACAAGTTCTAGGGTATATTTTTTATTTCATTATGCCATTTAGTGCATATTAACTGGGGCACTTAAAAGTCATTTCCATCAGAAACCTCTTGAGACCTTCATCAATTACTTCAAGTGTTCGAGTCTCAAATACACCCTTTTCTTCTACAAACTTCTGGAAGAGATGAACACCACCACCAACACCAAAATAATGTGCTTTGCTGGCCAGAATCACCCGGCCATTCCTACTCAAGAGACTGAGGAATGTTTCATGCAAAGTGCTGTAATAATCTGGATTATAAATGGTTTCTGAAGTGAGAATGAGGTCATATTTCACAAACAGGTTTTCACTTAATACAAGCTTACAAAACTCAGCCCACTCCCCAGAGAACAATCGACATTTACATATTTCTTGGCCTACTTCTGACTTCCTCTGTCTTTTCCCATCTGGCACATTTATGTCATTGCTGTCATCTTGCAAAGGGACATTAGCAACTACATTAGGTAAGGTCACTTCATCAATCACCAAACTGTTATAATCTTGAAAATGAACTTCTCTAGCCCCTGCTTTGCATGCAGTTATTCCAAGCAACCCAGACCCACAGCCAAGATCCAGCACTTTCTGCCCAGCAAACTTCACTTTGGCTTTAGTGAAGTAAGTCAAGAGATCAAAGGTACATTCCCAGATTTTTAAGCCTCCTTCATAAACACCTGGAATCAGATCAGAATGAGATGAAAAGCTTTTTGACACTATGTTTTCTCCAGGGAATTTCTCTTTCAAAGAGATGGTTTTCACAACTGCTGTGTTAACATGCTGGGGTCCTGGCAACATTTCCAAAACCTTATTTTCTAAGACTTGATTAAAATCTTTAGGTATCGAATGTTCTTTAGCAGGTTTCAAGGAGGGCGGCTTTTCACATGCTTCTGGGTCAGCTGACTTGTCAGTGGTACTGTGTGGACTGTCAGTGTCTTCAGAGGAAGCTGCATTTCCCAGTGAGGGGCATTTCCACAAGTGATCCTGAGGAAAGCCCAGCAGTTCTGGAGATTGCTTTTTGTCCTGCTTCCCTTTCTGACTTTTAAAGACACAAGTTCCATCATTAAGGGATGTTAATTTATTTTCCAGATCTTCTTCTATACTAAAATTGAATTGAAAGGCCATCCTCATATATGCACACAGTTTTTATCAAAGGATGATGCTTCAACTTCTAGAAAGCAAACAATGGCACAACCGACCACACAGTCAAATTAGTTCTGTTAGGCCCAATGTCTGTTAGCTACTTATACACCACCAGATGTATTTCAAGGGGGTTCCAAAGACGTTTCAGATACCTTTGCTCCTTTTTCAATTCAGTCCTGGAAAGGGAAGGGGAAAAAATAAAATGATTTTTTTTTTTTAAAGGAGTGTGTGATTTAGGAAAATGCATAGATGACTTAAGTATTCAAAAGTAGAGGATAAGACATAAAAACAAATAAAAGAACAGCTATAGCAGCAACCACCCTCACCAGAACAATAAAGCCCACGATTTTTAGACAGAACAGCCTAGCTACTTGGTCTTTTAGTTGCCTTGTGCCCGACATACTCACACCCTAAATTTCTGACACATCTTCATCTCTGCCTCGCAAAACAGTTTAAGGTCTTATTTGGGTAAGTGGAGCATCCATTTTCAAACACTCACTGGTGCGAGCTGGGGTGTGTAAACTCATGTAAACAGTACATGTTATGTATGTAGTTATGTGTATGTAGTTCTAAACCTTATGTGACTGGAGGGAGGAATAAAGACTAGGACTGTAGAAAGCATAGTCGATTGTATAGAAACATTTCCGGCAATATGCCAGACTATAACACCCGTTTTAATTTGCATTTTTCTGGACCGTGGGGTCTTTGTTCACTTGATAGGAGCTGTATACAAACGGAAGCACGCGCGCCAGTAAAATCATTCCTGGTATCGAACGCACCTCACATTGGAGTACAGTCAATCTGGCTACAGCCCAGGTCACCCTTGAGACTACGCGTAGTCTCAAAGTCCCCCGGGACTGAGGCTATCAAACCTGAGGACTTCTGGTTTCAGCACTGTAAAGTCAGACGTCAGGGTGAATGAAGACGGCCGCACACGGAACTCCAGGAGAAGCTCGCCTTCAACCCACGGTGAACATCAGCGAGATTAGTCCTCCAACAGCTAGAGAAGGCTCCAACGCTTGGGGGCGAGAATCCTCCTCTCTATGGTTTGGTGTGGGCGGAGCTCTCTCAAAGCCTGCTGGGACGGCGTTCTAAGCTTTGGCGGGAGTCGTGCGAGTTTGTTTGTCTTTGCGGGCGAAAGAATGTCGCAGGGCGATGCGGTGGTGGTGAACGGGGTCTTGCTGGAGGAACTCAGTAGCTGGACGGAGGAGATGTGCCGTCGGGAGCTGCCTTCGGTGCTGCCCCGGCTCCTCATATCCTTGGAGGGCGCTGAGGGGGGTGTGTCGCGAGCCTGCTCCTGGGTTGTTTCCCTGACGCGTGCGGGCTGTAGCTGGGACTCGAACCCTCTTTTCCGAGGTGACTGTGGAGGGACAGTCGAGGACGACCGTGGGTTGAGGAGTAGGCGCGCCTGGCATTGTCGGACGATTGCAACTGGAGCTTTTGAAGATGATTAATGCTCTCATGCCTTACTTAAATTTATTTCTCTGTCCCTAAGTCCTCCCCACCCCCCAGGGCCGCACTAAGTGTGAGAGATGCCAGTGCTGGTGCTTAGCGTCTGGATGAAGCGTGAGAACTGAAGGATGTAGTTTTAGTTCTTCTGTGATACCATATCTTCAAAGGATGTTCTGTAAACAAAAATGCTTTTCCCTTTCAAACCTGTTTCCCTTTTAAGTTACAAGGCGTTGCTTCAGATATTGACTTTAATCGAGTTACAATTGTGTAGAGTCAGGTGCAAGGAATAATTAGTGTAATGCTTTTGTTTTTGTAACTGGAAGTCGACCCCCTTTATGTTAAAAGGTGATTTTTGTTTTAGATCTTTGATCCTACCTTCTATATAAAGCTACACACACAGAGAAACAGACACCCACTTCTCCGAAAACTAAAAAGACCATTACTTAGTGGATGTTCAAACCTTGCACAAATGATGTTTCATGGTCAGTATAACTTAGGTATTTCTGTCACATTGAAGGCATTCCTTAGACATGAGCAAAATCCAACGTGGTGCTAATGCCCAGTTTTTTTTTTTAATACTCTATGTTTGATTATGGAATTATTTTGGTTTTTTTTTTTTTTTTTTTTTTAGATAGATTCTTGCTAAGTAACCCTGGCTGGCCTGGTACTAGCTACACAAAACAGGCTAGTCTTGGGTTTGCAGAAATCCTGAGTCTGCAGTGCTGGAATTTTTGTGTGCCACCTAGAAGGGTTGTCTTTATGGAATTTCCTCCTGGAAACAGCTGTTTTCCTATTCAAAAGATGTTTATGTAAATAGAGTGTCTCAGACTGCTAGGCTTAGAAAGAATGAAGATATATGTTATTTTACTCTTCCCTCAATATTACAGGTACCATCACTACATTTATTTATTTATTTATTATTTATTTTGGAATTTTTCAAGACAGGGTTTCTCTGTATAGCCTTGGCTGTCCTGGAGCTCACTCTGTAGACCAGGCTGGCCTCAAACTCAGAAATCCACCTGCCTCTGACTCCCAAGTGCTGGGACTAAAGACATGCGCCACCACCACCTGGCTACATCACTACATTTTAAGTAACATTTCTACCTTACCTTGCTACCTACTGAAAACTCAGATCTCATTTTCAGATTTTCTTCTGTAAGTAAACCTTGAACACTTTTTATAACCAGCAAATTATTATTTCTGATTCTAATTTACTCCTTGAATATACCTGTTTCCCACTGTGATTCTAATCTTTACAAGCTGTACTAGGAATATTTTTCTTGTTTCTACACAGTTCTTCTATAATCTATTCTTAACAAAGTTCAGAGTAAAAAAAAAAAAAAACCTCACCTTTTTTTCTCCTACTCAATATGTAGCTTAATTTTAAGAACACAGTCTGAACTTGTCGTCAAAGTTTCCTATACTTTGAACCTGGCTCATCCTTCATACCTAACCAGCTACATTCAGTCCACAAATACATCAAGCTGACCTACTTCAGGGTCTTCTCCAGCCTTTTCGACATCTCATTTGGGTCTTCCTCAAAGTTACCTTCTCAGAGGAGCCTTTTTCACAGCCCCTCGATCTTAAGTAGTCCCCAAAACCTAACTTTTTTAGGGTTTTGATTGCTTTGTTAAAACACTGTGATCAAAATAATCTTGGGGAGAAAAGGGTTTACTTCAGCTTGAGGTTCCATATCACAGTCCATTATCAAAGGAAGTCAGGACAGGAGCTCAAGCAGAGCAGAGACTGTGGAGAAGGTTGTTTACTGGCTTGTTGTCTGCTTCCTTACAACACCCAATAACACCAGCCCAGTCAGCGCTGTCCAAAGTGAGCTAGGCTCTTCCACATCAGTCATCAAGAAAATGCACTTCAAATCAAGTCAGCAAAGCCCACATGAACTCACAGAAACTGAAACATCAGATACAACATACACAAGAACTACACCAAATTCTCTGTGCATATATTACAGCTTTCAGCTTAATATTTTTATGGGACTCCAGAGTGTGTGAACAAGTGGGTCTGATTCTTATGCTTTCTCTTGGGCTCTTTTCCTTCTGTTTGCTTGCATTGTCCAATTTTGCTGTTTTTTATTTTATTGTAATTTATTTTACATTTTCTTATCTCTTAACCTTGATCTTTTCTAATTGAGACAGAAAGGAAGGATCCTGATGGAAGAGGTGGTGGGGAGGACTGTGGAGGGGTAGAGGGAGGGGAAGCTAATCAGGGTATATTGTTTGACAAAAGAATATTTTCAGTTAAGGAGCGGGGAATGTAGTACAGACTTATCTATAGGCAGCTTTGATGGAGGCATTTTCTCAAGAGTCCCTTCGTCCACATGACTAGCTTGTGTTAATTTGACATATAACTGACCAGCATACTACTCTGTTACATATATGGAGCTGTTTACAGTTTTCTGGAGGCCTTTTGATCCCTGAATGAACTTATTTGCCTATCCCCCGTTTCTCTTCACTGTACTGTCAAGTACAGAGGCAGGAGTTTGGTTTTATCCTTACCACTGAGAATAGTAACTGGTATACAATGTGTTCAGTAAAAATGCCTGGGTGTCTTAAGTAGTTGTCAAGCATGTTAGTATTTACTCTGATTCTGTACAACAAATGGAAGAAAAGTGCAATTGATCACAATTATCACTTACAATTAGTTTCATATTCTTCTTCTTACATATTGTCCAGCCTGAATATTTTCATGTTTATAACTTAATGGTGAAGTAGCAAGCTTTCTGAATTTAAACTGGAATTGGTCCAGTTGACAGATTATACCCTCCTGAACTGAAAAATATTGTTTCTTCATTTTGATTGCAGTTATAAAATACGCAGGGTAAAAGTTCAGAAGAGAGATTTTTGTGATATTTATGAATACCCATTTTCTTGATACTGTACAAGGGTTCTTACTACCTTTGCAATAAAATATTTCTAATAAGTCTCAGTGATCCATAAGTATAATTTGTTCTATGTGTATTATCTCTTCTATTGGATATGTAGTTGGTCGTAACAACTTGCAAGCTCCTTGCTGTGGAGAAGATTTTCACTCGGTAAGGTTGGTAAGAGGTGTGTAAGTAACATCCAGGTTAATGCAGATACAAATAGAAGTGGGAAAGTATTTCATGACTACATTGAGTTTGACAGTTCCTTTACCCTAAGTAATTAAAAAAAATTTTCCTGCCGGGCAGTGGTGGCACACGCTTTTAATCCCAGCACTTGGGAGGCAGAGACAGGCGAATTTCTGAGTTCAAGGCCAGCCTGGTCTACAGTGAGTTCCAGGACAGCCAGAGCTATACAGAGAAACCCTGTCTCGAAAAACCAAAAAAAAAAAATATATTTTTTTCCTTAAATATTTTCACAAAATCTTTGTTCATCTGTTAAAAGTTAAGTTTTCAAAGATAAAAGAAAGCCAGGGATTTGGGCATAATTTCAGTCTCTTAGGGATTATGGGTAAATTTTAATCATTCTTTTTGAATTTATTCCTTAATTTATATTTTACTCTATGTATCAGCGTTCTGAAAGTTGGACTGAACATATCCGTAAGTAGATTATTTTGTATATATGATATTATGTTTATGTATGCCAGTAGACTACAGATTTATGTTACCTTCAGCTTTAATCTTTTCTTTATTGTAATTTCTGTAACTTCCTGTTACATAAAATGAGCCGATTCCTTCCATCATAGTGTTTTTAAGTTTTAAATTCCATTTTTGTTAATGTATAGCACAATGAAAATTTCAGCGTTATGCTGTGATGGGACCAAGATTGTGTGTTGTCATACCATGTCAGTCTGTCATAATGTTTAGCCTCTTAACATGTTTAGTGTCATTTAGAGAATAGTTTCAAGTTAGGAAAAAAAGCTCAGTGTCTGGACTGTAGATCTAGATGGTGACAGATTTGTGTGGAAAATGGTTACTCTGATCTTCATCTGTTTTCATAAGACTTCCTTATAAGGAATGATGATTGTTTCCTGATGTCTCTGCATGCTATGGTGTAAGTGTCTGCACTCACACACACAAACATGCACATAGACAAAGGAACATTCAGAGAAAAGTTATGATGGGAACTGTCATTTCATTCCTTATATATTTCTGGTGCCCAGCTATGAGTCATTGTGTATGCTTGTTTATATAATGGTTAAAGTTGGAATTTTTACCATCTTAGAAACTTATGTTTTTTAAAAAATGTATTTTAATTGTGGTAGGTCCTGTTGAGTAGGTGTATCCACACCCATTAAACTTATTTAGCTTGTTTTTAGTTTCTGTTTTTGTTTTCTTTCTTTCTTTTTATTTATTTTTTTTCGATTATACTTTTTACATTGAAGTGCTTAATAGTTTCTCTGGAATATGGTATTAAGCCTTTAAAGCTTTAGGTTGACATTACTTACGTAGTCTCATATTTGACGAAGGGCAGTGACTTACTGACTGACATAATATGATTGTTTTACAAAATGTTATTTTGCTTTATAGGAATTTTGAAAATCATTGTTGAAATGTTTTTGCCTCATATGAACCACCTGACACTGGAAGAGACTTTGTTTTCCCAAGTTTTACCAAAG